ACACACACACACACACACACACACACACACACACACACACACACACACACACACACACACACACACACGTTGTAGGCGGAGCCCACGGCTTGTCTGTGCGGACGCCTGTGGGACTATGATCAGCAGATGGTGGAGTGCGGCCGATGCAAGATGTGGCACCACCTCAAATGCGTGCGCATCCCAGACTTTGGGTGAGCCCAATGTGAATGTGTGTGTGTGTGTGTGTGTGTGTGTGTGTGTGTGTGTGTGTGTGTGTGTGTGTGTGTGTGTGTGTGTGTGTGTGTGTGTGTGTGTGTGTACATCAGCACAGCTGCATGAGCCTTTGTATGTCCACGAACCTGTTGTCTCCTTGTGTTGCACTGCACAACGCTCGTGCTGGGAACAGCTTTGTCACCCGCCTCACTCGAATTGACTCCATGGTCTTGGTCACTCAACACGCGTTGGTACACAGTCCACACATGCTTGCCTCGATGGACTACGCATATGAGTGCGCACAATGCTCTCCAAAGAACGAGTGCTTCTTTGAGCGACAAAAGCCAAGTACGGCATCATGATCCCTGATGCTTGCTTCTGCTGCTGTGACGTTCTCTCTCTCTCTCTCTGTCTCTGTCTCTCTCTGTCTCTGTCTGTCTGTCTCTCTCTCTGTCTCTCTCTCTGTCTCTCTCTCTGTGACGCTCTGTTTGCGTGTGAAGCCATATGTGCGAGAAGATATGTGGTGGCGAAAGCGCATCTTGTACCCCCCCCCCCAACCTGATGCATGCTCCTGCCACACCCTTACAGCTTTCAAGCACATTGTGTTGACGGCGCTGTGGAACCTGCAGAAGGAGGTGCAGAAGGATGCACCCGACCGCGAATTTGTATCCATCTCAAACGTGCGTGCTCGGACACACACGCGCGCGCGTCGTCTCTTTGCATGCTTTGCCTTTCTCCCTGCGCCTCCTCTGGATGCGAGCGTCTGTGTTTCAGCGATAACCCTCAGATCAACATGCTGTACACGCTCGCACACGCTCGCACACGCTCGCACACGCTCGCACACCTACTTCCACACATGTGCGCATTGCACTCTGCCTGTCGTGGCCGTGTCGACCCCCCCCCTCTTTCATTTTCATTGCGCCGCCATCACAGGAGTTGATTCCGTTCATCGAGAAGCACGCGGAGCAACTCATGCACAAGCGCACAGAGAGCGAGCGAGAGGGCTGGCAGACAAAGTGCAAGCGCGTTCTCGTAAGCCCTTCCTGGCCTTGCGCACACGCGCACACATTGCCATGTGTTGCACGCATGTGATACCCTCGTTTCTGCTGCTGATGCTGCTGTGTACTGCTTGCATCGGTTTAATGTACCATGAACATGCGGTCGTGTGTGTGTGTGTGTGTGTGTGTGTGTGCGTGCGTGTGTGTGTGTGCGTGTGCGTGTGCGTGCGTGCGTGTATCTGCAGGGGCAAGATCACCAGTGCTGGGAGCGGCGCGGCGATGATGAAGTCCGATTCGTCAACTGGAGGGTACGACCACACACACACACACACACACACACACACACACACACACACACACACACACACACACACACACACACACACACACACACACACACACACTCACTCACTCACTCACACAAACTCACACCCCTTCACCCACACGCAGGAGCCGTGGCTGATGGCATCTGACCCGCCGCCCTCCGCAAAACGCCAGGCCAGCGACACCGCAAAGCCCGCAAAGTACGCACCCAACAATACATGAGCCGCGTCAGTGTGTGTGTGTGTGTGCGTGTGTGTGCGTGTGTGTGCGTGTGTGTGTGTGTGTGTGTGTGTGTGTGTGTGCCCTCTTGGCTTGTTTCCGACGTTGGAGTGATGGTTACCTGCTCCAACATCCGACTGACATCTCTCCACGGTCCCCTCACCCTTGTCTCCCCCTGGTCATATGCTTACTGTTGTGCTCAGACGGGCAAAAGCGCCCATTCAGGACCCGGCCGTCGTTGCCGTGCCGTACACAAAGGTGGTGTGCGCGCGTTGCGTCATTGTATTCGTCCAATTGCTCATTCACGAGTGATGTTCACAGACCGAAGTTGATTATCATCTGTAGCCGATCCCATGAACGCACACGCACATGCACACGCTCCATCTCACTCACGCACACACACGCACACACTCCACCCCACTTCCTCTTCCATTCTCCCTCAGTTGTGCCCACTCACATACTACAATCGCTCCCCCCTCTCTGTCGATGGTGTGTGAGCAGGAGGGATGGCGGTACGAGTACGCGCAACCGGCGAGCGGCAGCAGCGAGCACAGCACGTCATATCGCATCGTCCGCTGGCAATCCCCGCCGCAGATTGCATCAGGGTGCGCTGTTTTGTGTGTGTGTGTCTGTGTGTGTGTGTGTGTGTGTGTGTGTGTGTGTGTGTGTCTGTCTGTGTGTGTGTGTGTGTGTCTGTCTGTCTGTGTGTGTCTGTGTGTCTGTGTGTGTGTGTGTGTGTGTGTGTGTGTGTGTGTACACGTGTGTGTGTGCACGTGAGTATGTATGTGTGTGTGTGTGAGACTGAATGTAACCTGTGTTTAAACCTTAGTTCCAACCGGGCACACACATAGGTGCTCGTGCGAAGTCCATAAAAACCGTTTTGGATAAGATTACCCGGTTTCATTTTCCGGATATAATTTAAGATGACAAA